CAAACTACCCGACCCGATTTAAATGCGAAAACAAAATTTCCAAATAATCATTTTTTTATTTACAAATTGGACTGACTCTTATTGTGACAAAGGTTTGGTTTTGGAGATTATCCTCAAGGGTCCTTTAATTATTCTTATTTGTTCCATTGGTTAGTTGTCAGTTTATGTCATCACTAATCAACCTTTTATTCTTCAATTTTAGAATCTATTTTGCATCTGATAAAGAAAAATATTATATCGTCAGTGAATGTGCACTTATTTTAAATTATAAGAATTTGGTTTAATTATAGTTTTAGTTTTATATTAAATTTTACAAATATTTTCTACCTGTCTCTTTAAAAAAAATTATTTTTTTAATTATATACATACATACATACATACATACACACTGAAAATTTTTACAACTCTTACTACTAAATTAATTATCGTTGATTTTCGTCAATTTAATGGTTATAATTTATTGAGTACACTTATTAATTAATTAATTATTAACGCTATATTGACGGAAATTAATGATAATTAATTTAGTAATAAGAGTTAAAACTTTTCAGTGGTAAGTATAACTGGCTTTATATATATATATATATATATATATATATATATATATATATATATATATATATATATATATAGGGGCAGGATATTCTTACACTGGTGTAAGAGTTAGAAGTCTTACACTCAATCTTGACCATTGATCCACTTGTATCCAATGGCTCACATTACTAAAAAATTTGAGCCCTTAGATATAAATGGGATCAATGGACAAGATTAAGAGTGTAACTTACACTGGTGTAAAATGTTCCTAACCCATATATATATATATATATATATATATATATATATATATATATATATATATATATATATATATATATATATATAGGTTTATATTTCTGCAGCTGCTATATGTGCAGCAATCAAATACTTGCCATATATATATTTGAAAGCATTAAATACGGGGAATCATAACCATACAAAGGATGAAAACATTAAATGTGGGAAAATCATAACCATACACCTGTCGTGGTTGTACGTAAAGCGGCTGCAAAAATGATTTTACCATATATATATATATATATATATATATATATATATATATATATATACGTTTGTTTTTTCTGTAATCAATGTAGATAAGTTATCTATATTAAGCCCAAAACAATGTTATTTTGTAATTATAATTTATTTCAAGTTTATAATAGTTTTTCTCATTATAATTTTTTAATCTTTCAACCCAAAATGACTTTGTTTTGGGATGGAATGTATATAACTTATCTACATTCACTGTTTTAAGCAGATGTCATGTGACTTGACAAAATGTTTGGTACGATAAAAAAATTATATGTATTATAAGTAGTACATAGTTATAATATTAAAGTTGTGTTTTTTCTCTCTTCAGAAATTTAACTATGTACTACATGTAGTACATAGTTATAATAATAAAGCTATTTTTTTCCTCTCCTCAGTAACTTTTCAAACAGTTGTCGGATGATGTAGAAGAGAAAAAAATAACTTTAATATTATCACTATGTCATGTTGTAAATAGTTATAATTTTTTAACCAGACCAAACCTTAGATTCAGTCACATGACAAATCAATGACAAATCATATATCAGGAGAGAAAAACTAATTAACGTGTTGAAAATCATATATATAGAGTCCTCGTATTCATCATTTGTTTGAAAATCTGCCTATATCAGGATCGACATTTCAAAAAACTAATGTGTTGTGTACGACACTCTCCGACACTTCAACAAGCGTTATAGAGACTCAAAAATGGATTCAAAAGTTACTTTATGTTACGTTTTTAGTTCGAAACAAGGTGGTTAAAATCAAGATTTTACGTAAAATCAAATGGGGTATAAAAAATCGTAACATAAAAAATCGTAAAAGCATTTTGAATATTTGTAAAATCGTTTTGATAAAAAAATCGTAAAAACGTAGTGATAAATCGAGATTTTAACTATCATGGCTCGAACTATTAGATCTATTAGATTCCTATTTCATTTATTGAGTTTAATATAAATATTTGTGATATCTTATATTTCTTTGCAAAATTGATGCATATTATAAGTTTATCTTCATTTTTTTATTAAATTATTGAATACTAAATATAATATACACTACATAAATTAAAAGTATTATTTAATATTAAAAAGTGTTGTCCAAATCTAATACTTTTTAAAATTAACGTGTCGGAGTGTCGTATCATATTTTGTGTCAATGTTGGTGCAATATAGATTCCCGAATATTCATATTGTCACGAGATGCACAATGTGAAAAGTTATTTTATGAAAGGGTTTGTTTTTTCCGATGTTACTTTAGATAAATTTATCTAATGTTCATCAAAATGATGTTGTTTTGGGACAAAAATCATGGTATTTTTGTAATTTTAATTTATTTCAGGGTTATAATAGTCTTTATCACTCTAATTTTTTAATTTTTCAACCCAAAACGACGTCGTTTCGATGAACATTAGATAAAGTTATCTAAAGTAACATCGGAAACTTTTTTCCTTTTATGAAAATATAAAATAAAATAAAAATGTTTTGGAACAACCCTCGGAACAGTTTCGAAATGTTTAACTACTAGATAATTTTGTCTTCGAGTGGATTTCTATAAATATTAAGAAAAGGAGAATTATTAGGGTTGGGTGGACACTATCAATATCAATGAGGCGTAATACAATATTTATTGATTAAATTTACTATTTATTTTAGGAGATGTTATATTTATTATTATTTTATTATTATCTCTTATTATTAAATTTTAATCGTAGATTTTTTAATCTAAAATTGTGATTTATTAAAAATTAATAATTAATTAATAAGTACAAGTTATAATCGTTTGATTGTCAAAAAGTAACTATTAAAATTTAATAATAAAAATAAAAATAATAATAATAATAAATTAATAAATATAACGTCTCCTTTTACTTTAATGACTCGGTTTCTAGATTATTTCTGCACTTTTTCGATCGGTGTAAACTAATCATTCAAAGATCAAACAATGTGATTTTACGAGTGATGTCTTTAACCTTTCAATATTTATTTTTTATAGCACAAGCACGTGATGAATTGGAACGGAATTGTTCTAGTTGGGTACGTTATCATATTAGAAATTTGGAAGGAAATTTTTTGTCATCTTCATATCTCAAATCAAATTAATTAAGTAATATAAATATTTACATTTTTTTGTTGAGTGTTTTTCAATAATTCTCACCCTCTTAAATAACTCAGGGCCATTTGGATGAATTTTTTCTCTCTTGCTTTTTTTATAGAATAAAAAACCATTTCTCATTGGAAGTTCGTTTGAATGTCTGTTTTTTTTTTTTAAATATAAGCCAAAAAAATAATCTAAAAATTTGGTTTTTTTTTTTAAGCTAAACATTTTAAGTTTTTTGATCCTTTTGTCCCTTATTAATTAATTAATAACCAATTTATCCCTCATCCAGAACTATCCACCAACCTGCCCCTCTTTAATCGACTAACTTGAAGTTTTAGTCGATGAAATGATCAAAATTCAGAAAGTTCATTGACTCGATTAAAAATCCCTCATGATTGATTAAATTTTGGGATTTTTAATCGACTACATCACAATATTAAAAATTCCGCCGACATTTAATCGACTAAAAATTGTGATGTAGTCGATTAAAAGTCCCGAAATTTAATCGATCAAAAGATATTTTTAATTGACTAAATTTCGAGCCAATGAACTTTCTGAATTTTGACCATTTAATCGACTAAAACTTCAAGTTAGTCGATTAAAGAGGGGCAGGTTGGTGATAGTTCTGGATGAGGGGCAAAAAGGTCAAAAAGCTAAACATTTTTTTTTTTTTTGATAACAAAAGCTAAACATTTTAGCTTTTAACAAAAAGTGAAGTTAAAAGTCAAATATTTTTTTTTCAAAAATTCAATATTTAAAAAAAAATCTAAATAGCTTTAACTTTTGTAAAAAAAATAATTCTAAAATAAACAAGACATATAAAAACTGTTTTTTGAAAGGCCAAACAAACGGGCTCTAAGTAAAAATGAGAACGAGGAGGGAGGTTGAAATAATAATAAAAAAAAAAGGAAAACAACGAAAAAAAATAAGTAGTTGTTTACCATAATTTAATACCGTATGGTGATTTCAACATGCAGACGGTTTAAACATTTTTCTTGTTTAGAAATTTATTATCTCATTCATCAAACACATAGTTTTATTAGAAATATGTGCAATAAATATCTATTATGTTAAATATTTTACACTTATTTACATAATTTGTATTCTTTTAAATAATTTTTTTTTATTAGGAATGTCTTAGGAGTTGGGTAAATTCGCAAACTAACACTCAAAGTAAATTGAGTTTAAAAATACTTCAAGGTTAAGTAGTGAGTTGGAAAAGTTCCAAACCAAGCAACATTTTTTGGGTTATCAAATTCCTTTAGCCATTATTAATTTTTTAAGTTAGGGTCTTCAGAATAACTAATTAATGATAATCTAAATTAGGTGAGTTGAACCAGAAAAATATCCCAAAATTCATCCAAACCCTGCATCGGACATTCCTAGTTTCTTATACCAACCTAAGCTAGTAGTGTTCATTGATAGAATCGAAATAGATGTGTGAACAAATTATATGGAATCTACTTATTTTTTATTTTTTAAAAAAATAGTCTATATTAAATCCAATTATTGCACACTAACAAGAATATTCAAAGTCCAATAATTAAACATTTGAATAATATTATACTGGATTGAATCATTGAACTCGATGAAATGGCAATATAATTAAAATGCCATGAGGGACAGCTATTTAGCCACCAAATAACGTGACATGACAAATTCGCATAAGGGAAAAAGAAATAAAAAAAAGTAAGAAAATGCACAAATCAGCATCTATAAATTGGATCCCATTGTCAGAGTTGCATCGTAGAAGTGTGTACTGTGTTTGTGTGAGTGTGAGCCAAAAAAAAGTAGAGAAAAACATTACACTATAGTGCTATTATTTTGGCTCAAAGATGGTAGGCCCAATGAGACCTCAGATTGTGCTATTTGGCTCCTCCATAATTCAGATGAGCTACACTAATGATGGTTGGGGTGCTATTCTTGCTAATTTGTATGCTAGAAAGGTACTTATTTGCTCCTTAATCATTTTAAGGATAATTTTCTCAATAAATTAGACTTTAGATTTATACACTTCAAATAGGTTCACTTATTACCAAACTCATAAAACTGTGAAAAAGTTTAGATAGTATAAAATGGTCAAATCCCATTGCATATTATTAAGGCTCCCAACTTATAAGGATAGGAATGAGAATTAATTATTTGCAATATCTTATCTTTATATTTTCAAAAGAAACTTATTAGAACCCGTGACCTTCCGATAATAACAAGGAACAACCTTAATATTGCTCCGAGGCTCGTCCTAGTTTAATTACTATAGCTATGTATTTAATGATGATGAATGAACTTGTTTTTATTATAATGACGTGGATACACAGGCGGACATAATTTTGAGAGGATACTCAGGTTGGAATTCAAGGCGTGCTTTGGAGGTTCTAGATGAAATTTTCCCCAAGGTACTTAGAAATTATTTGTTAAATGTCTAAGTATATTCCATTGTTTTCTTTTTGATTCTTTCTGTGTGTCCTAAAAATACTTTCGTTTTATTTGTTGTCATTGAGTAATGGCACCTGTGAAAAGAGTCAAGTGGTTTGTATTGGTCCAGTATAGATTAGTTTAAAAATTTTGCACATGAACTTGATGTCATGAATTTGTCTTGGAAGTGAGCGTGGACATGTTTAAATTAAATGTACATTATTTTGTTTTTATATTGTTTACTTTGGATTCAACTGAGCACAATGTGATACTTCTACTTTTTGAGAATCACAATGTGATTCTTGCTCATATTGAGATATAATGAATGATCCATTTAATTAACTCAGGATGCCCCTGTGCAACCATCATTGGTTATCGTCTACTTTGGTGGTAATGATTCTATTGAACCTCACCCATCTGGCCTTGGCCCTCATGTACCTCTCCAAGAATATGTTGAAAATATGAGGAAGATTGCTAACCATTTAAAGGTAATAAATCTCCATTTCAAACTTTGTTCATCTTGTGCCAATAAGCCTAATAACTTTGTTAATTCACTGCTTGCACAAAATGGTCTTTTCTTTTTTCTTTTTTATCTTCTTATATTTGTTGCTGCAAAGTTTGACACCAATCATAATGCTTTTCAGAGTCTCTCAGATCATATTCGCCTTATATTTCTCACCTCACCTCCCATCAATGAGGAACAAATCCGCAAAAAACTCAGGTACATTCAATTCCTATTTGATTATCATAACTTTTTATGGAAAATATTATAGATAATTGATGTTGAAACATACAGTTCTAACAAAAAGTGAAATAAGAACTACATCATGACACATAATCATTCACTTATTATCCCATTTCCCCGTACACAAGATAACATACAGAAATGATATTTGCACATAAGAAAATATTATATTATTTTGTTACAAAATAAAACGACAAAAATATAAGGGCAAGTCCAGAGCAGGAATAAAGTTGCTCTGTGACTCAGATCATAGATTTGAATTTAGAAAATAATGTGACTAATGTCAAGATCTGAACTTAAGCTTAAACAATGAAAAGGCCAAAATGCTACAAGTGATATCATAAGCTTAATAATAATAGTAGTAAATATTTTTTTTTGTTCCCTAACAAAAAATACGGTTTCCACTTTAATACCTTACAAAAAAAAATTAGTCTCGAGGTCCCTAAGAAATTCAAAGTGGACTCATTTAGTTGAAATTTTAATCTCACAAATTCAAAAAAGACCCACATTAGTCCCTCAAAAGGACTAAAATTGATGCACTTTGAATTTCATAAGGACCAGTCAACTAATTTTTTTTTGTAAGGAACTAAAGTGGGAACTGTGATTTTTTGTTAGGGACCCAAGAGGTATTTATTCTAATATCTAGGCTCTCTCATTTCCTATTTCTTCAAAATTAATTTACATAGAAAAATTCGAAATTCTGATGATCATTTTTGTTGGAGTGAATCCAGTGCAACGCAGACAGGAAGAACAAATGAATGCTGTGGAATATATGCAGAGGCTTTAATGGAGCTATGCCAAGAGATGAATATCAAAGCCATTAATCTTTGGTATGCAATCCAAACAAGGGATGATTGGTTAGATGTTAGCTTCACGTAAGTATATATGCTCACAAATATACATACCCCTTAATTGAAAAAAAGCTTAAATATGCATTTCCTTCATTTGATTAAGTTATTTGGTTATTCCTTAGGGATGGAGTTCATCTATCAGGTGAGGGAAGCAAAGTAGTAGTGAAGGAAATATTAAGGGTTCTAAGAGAAGCAGATTGGAAGCCTAGTTTGCATTGGATGTCAGTGCCAACTGAATATGCAGAAGATTCACCATATTATCCTCCAAGTCAAGATGGAACAACTACTATAAATGTGTCTTATAGTATCTCAAGGAAAAGTTTGCAGTGGGATTTGTAAAACTATTATATGCATTATTTTGCATCTCATGAAATGAGGCTCTATTATGTAGAGCCCTTAAGCAACATGCTGCTCTCATATGCTCAATGATAAATGTGAGAGTTGTTCTTGGTGCTGGAAGTCCCTCCCCCTAAGGGGATTGTTGTGATTTGTGAATTTGTGATTTTTTGCATTTTTCTCTTCCTATATATCAAATAAATATGTTCAGCAATTTTCTTTCTTATAATGTCAAATCATTGTCCATTCTTGTATCTCTCTCTCTTTCTCTCTCTCTATTATATATTTATATTATATATATTGGCTTGAGGAGTAATTAATTAACGATATCAACCATTAATCATTTATTATTATTTCTCAAATAAAAAAAGAGAGCATAAACAGATTTTTCATGTCATAAAAAATGTAATTCAACAAGTTAAGATAAATTAAAGATATTTTTTTAAATTTTAATCTATTTACACAACTTGAATCTAAAAATTAAATCATATATAAATTTATATTAACAGTTCTTCAAAATATTACCACAAACATAAAAAATAAAATCAATATAGTTCTCCAACAATGTTCAAGCATGATTTGCCTTGACTGCTGTTGCATAATTAACGGTGGACTTGGGTGTATCATCAGTGCATAGAGTATATAATTTTAAACTTATTTTTAAATCCAAATGAAGGAGTAGGTATAATTGTGTTTTATGTGGAAAAAAAAGAAAAAAAAAACAAATTTTACATAATTTAAAATTTAAGATTTGAGATCTGTTTTAAATAATTTAATTATAATTATTTATTATTTATTATTTATTTTTTAGAAGGTAGTTATCGTTATATTTATTTTTAGAATTTTAAATTTTAGATCCATTTGTAATTAGTCTATAAAAAAGAGTGTTTAAGACCCTTGTGTAGGAGTTAAATTTTATTATTTTAATAATTATAATCAAAAACAAAAAATATCTCTTTTATCAAATTTCAATTTCTTTTTAGTCCATTTTCTATGCGATTTCCGCATCAATTGAAGAGGAGATTAACTAATGTTGGAGGAAGATCTTTGATACCAATTCGATGTGGTTTTGGAGACTATATGCTCGTTTTCTTGACAGAAAATAGCTTCTTGGTAGTTTGTATATTTAGCAAGAGGAAACAAATAGATCTAGTTGTGCAGATGGAAAGGATTATCGGTGATTACAAAGTTAATGTGATTAAACAAAGAGTCGCATAATAGCTATCAACTATTGTTTTTATTCTTTGAGATCTATGATGCCAAATTCTAGTCGATGCAATTATAAACTCATTCATTTCTAAAAGACAAAAATTGTACTTATATATTATTATATTCTAATAATATTTCACTATTTTTGTGAAAACCGATAATTACATTTTTATTTTCCTCCTTAAAATTTTGGTCCTGGAATTTAAAAGAGTTTATAAAAAATTTAGAGCAAGTATAAAATATGGGAAAAACTATTCTCGAGCCATAGGAGAGTAGTCCATTTTCCTGTAGAGACATGGATTTTTATGTTTTTTATTTTATTTTTATATTTCATAATTATATGAGTCCCACCACATGATTGTGAGAGTGATAGAAGATAGTTTCTCTTCTGTTATTGTAGATTACTAAAGCCCATAAAATATATGTTATTTTATTTATCTTTTTTTCATGTCTATTAATCTTCAACACCATTAGATTAGAATCTGAAAAAGAGAGAGAAATGATAAAGATTAGTTCAAACAATGATCCAACGGTATTGAAAAGTGATAGATAAAATAAACATGAAAAAAAAGATTCACTTTTTCTGCAGTTACTGCAGATAAGTTACCTGCAGTAAGCTTAATACGACGTCGTTTTGAGGGAAAAATTATGGCATTTTTATAATTTTAATTTATTTTAGGGTTATTATAGTCTTTACAATTATAATTATTTAATTTTTCAATCCCAAAAAGACGTCGTAAATGCAGATAACTTATCTGCATTAACTGCAGAAATATTATTCTGAAAAAAAAATTAAGTAAAATAACCTATCCCCAAATATAAATACTTCTCACATAGGAACTTTTCTAAAAAGTCATTAAATTTGGTTTAATGATGAAGGATTTGGGTAATTTGCATGATATTATAAGTTTGAACTTTAATACCCACTATTATATATATATATATATATATATATATATATATATATATAATTATTTCTACAGCCGCTTTATGTACAACAACGACAGGTGCATGGTTATGATTCTCCAATATTATATATAAACATGAAAAAAATAGATAAAAATATCATATCCCAATAAATAAATTAAAGCAAGAAGAGTTAACATAAGAGATATGTTTTATTGGGTGTTTGGTAAAGGATCTTAAAAAAATTAATGGTGCTTACCGATTGAATTAGATCAATTACAAAAAAAAAAAGCAACAATCAATCAATCAATAACCTAATAGTTTTTAGCAGTATTATATAATCGATTTGTTCTAAAATGGAAATAAAATATAACCTAATCTAACTTATATCAATTTAATTTAAATTAGTTTTTTTTTTTTTTAAATATACGTCTATAAATTCAGATCTGCACTATATCAGAGTGATTATGTTTGATTGTTGTGGGAGTCAGAGAGTAGGAGAAAAGAAGATGGTAGGACCAGTGAGGCCTCAGTTTGTGTTGTTTGGTTCCTCCATTGTTCAGCTCTCTTATTCCAGGCAAGGTTGGGGAGCTATTCTTTCTCACTTGTATGCTCGTAAGGTACCTTTTTTGTTATTCTTAAAACCAAACACTATGACCATGATTTATGTGAGTTAAAACTGTGAAAGAAGAGGATTATTGGATATTGAGTTATGCTAATTATTAAGAATTAACTTTAGGAATTCATATATAGAGATTAACTGACTATAGGGTTATTCACTATCAGTTCTTACTTCAGTTTTGAATTTAATGAAATTGCTTTCTTTTTATTATAGTCCTCACATATTGACATAGCAGAGGTATAGAATTTTATAAAGAATATAAATAAAGTATAAAATAATATATATAGAATACATTATAATAAAATTTTATAATTCAAAGGAAAAAAAAAGCAGTGTGTTTTTATTCAAATCGCACTGTGATATTATATTCAACCAATTCTGTGCTTCAATATAATTAACAGGAGTAAGGGTTGTGTGATATTGATGTTCTTTGTCATGGTTTTCCATAGATGTGTACCTATGCATCATAGTCCATAGAGATTGATGTGCTGTTTTCCAATTTCTGGATACTGGATGATCTATACTGAGACTTATATTTTATTTGCATTTTGATTGACCTTCGAGGGATAAACATAAAGGGGTTATGTTTCATCTACAAGAACAAGACTGCACGCAATGTGATAAGTCCTTAATTATGAAAAAATAAATAAATGAAGTCCCATTTATCCATGATTTGGATATGCAAGAAAATGCAGCTTGTTTTCAAGTGGAAGAAATCTTAATATTGAAGATAAACCTAAGTTATCGAGTGTTAGAGAGATATTATATAAAACCATTGAAGGTCATCACTCATAAGTTTTAGCTTTTGGGTGAGATTGTTGCTTTACATGGTCGGTGACCACGGGGTCACGAGTTCGATTACTGCCACCCCACTTTCAAGTGGAATTAAGTAAGCACAAGGTAGAAACAAAATTTGGGTTGTGTAATATCCACATTTCAAATCCAAAAGGCTCTTATACGAGAGGATGTGTTAGAGAGATATAATATAAAGACCATTGCTGGACCTTCACTTCTAAGCTTAATATAAAATCAAGGAATATCCGAATTTGCAGGAAGCAATACCATATTGAGTACATTTTGAGGAAAAGATTGTCCTACTGCACTCCACCAATCCTTCTTTCTTCCAGTACAAGGCCATGGTATTAGAGTAACATCTAATTATTTCAATGAGACTACATGGGAACACTGCATATAAAATGCCTAACTTTTAAAATATCAGCCGATAATGGAATGAAATTACATTAATATTTGTCTTTGAAGGATGTATGATGATGGTTATTGAGTTTAACTTATCACATATTGACATGATATAGGCGGATATAGTTCTGCGAGGATACTCAGGTTGGAATTCAAGGCGTGCTCTGCAGGTTCTGGATGAAATTTTTCCCAAGGTATTGAGATTCTGAGTATTAAACGCCCCTGTTGATTAAAAATTTCCCCCTTTCATTATCTTGAATCTTTTGTCCTTTTTTCCATAAATGTTAAAAAATGGTTATTCTATTTGTGGTCATTTGAGTAACAAATGGCAACTCTGGGAAAGAGTTGGCAAATTGACTGGGTATGCTACTGATTTGCTTGAAGAATCTTGTACATGATATCCTCCACTTGTGTTAGAAGTGAGCATGGACATATTAGGAAGATTATTCTGAATTTTAGGATGTTAAATGTACTACAGTGAACTTCATAATTTGAAGCTTGCTCTTTTTGTTTAGATTCAGATATGCGTAACTTACTTCGTTCTTGCTCAGACTGACAATTAAGGAATCACCCATTTGATGTGTCATCTTCTTTAACTTAGAATGCCTGTGAGCAACCATCGTTGATAATTGTGTACTTTGGTGGTAATGATTCTATTCTTCCGCATCCAAGTGGCCGTGGTCAGCATGTACCTCTCCAAGAATACATTGAAAATATGAGGAAGATTGCTATCCATCTCAAGGTAAACTTCCACACTAGAGTACTATATTCCTGTCTTAATTATTCTTATTATGTGAAAGGAATTCTTCATCCTTCAAGTATTTTGCAGTGCTTGCACAATCTTTTTTTTTTTTTTTCTATGTATCTCATATAAATATCACTGCAAAGTTTGACTCATATCCTAACCATTGCCAGAGCCTTTCTAAGAAGACTCGCATTATATTTCTCAGTGCTCCTCCCATCAATGAGGCACAAATTTATGCAAACAGGTAAGGACTGCAATTTGTTTGCTATTTGATTATTATGATTTCACAGAAAAGTAGATAGATTCATACTAGTGATGCCGCATGCCTACACTTATATCTAGACTATGATTACTATGTAGGATAAACTGCAAACAACCTCTTTCCTAGTAACTCCCCTCTCCTCAATCTGGTACATCCGTATCATGAACTCAAAGTTTGTTATACATAAATATAACCCGAACCCAAATGTCTATGTGACATTTTGTTCTTCAGAAATGAGCTCAAGCTTGAGTAATAGCATGGTCGATATGTAAGAATTTACATCTACAGCTTAAAACCTGCTAGACTTGAATCTATTATACTAGCATATGATAAGTTTAGCTCATATCAACATGCTTATTTCCTGATTTGTTTGGAATATACATTCAATCTGAAACTTTGACGAATAAATTGTTGGAGTGAAACCAGTGATCCATTGGGGCAGCGGTTAAGGACAAATGAATCCCTTCGATTATACTCAGAAGTGTGTTTGGAGCTGTGCCGTGAGATGAATATAAAGGCCATTGATCTCTGGTCTGCAATCCAGAAAAGGGATAACTGGAGAGATGTTTGCTTCATGTAAGTATATTCTCGTATGTCCCTGAATTGAAAAGGTTCAAGTCTGTGTTTGCTTCATTTGATAAGGTGGTTTGGTTATTCCTTAGCGATGATGGAATTCATTTGTCAGCTGAGGGAAGCACGACAGTGGCAAAAGAGATATTGAAGGTCCTTGAAGAAGCAGATTGGGAACCTAGCCTGCACTGGAAGTCATTGCCAATTGAATTTGAAGAAGAATCACTGTATGGTACACTTGGCCCTGATGGAAAGACAACTATAAATGTCTCAATCATTGTTGTTAAAATCTCGATTTATCACTATGATTTTACATTTTTATAATTTTTTTTCATCAAAACAATTTTACTAATATTGCAAACACTTTTACGTTTTTATGATTTTTTGCGATTTTTTTACATTACGATTTTACGTTTTACGATTTTGTAATCCCCTTCCGATTTTACTTAACTTCTCGATTTTAACAACATTAGTCTCAGTGATCCACTTGTCTCAATTGAATTTGGAGAATGTTAGAGAGATATAATATAAAACTATTGAAGGCCCATCACCTATAAGCTTAAGCTTTTGTGTTAAACTGATTCCACTAGAAAGGAGCGACGAGGATCAAATTCGTGACCCCGTGGTCACGAAAGCTCTGATACCATGATAAACAACCAATTCAACTCAATAGCTTAAGCTTATAAATGATGGACCTTCAATGATTTTATATTAAATCTCTCTAACAGAGAAGGTTCACCATATGATTCACTGGGTATTATGTTTTCGTTTTCAGAGGTAGAAAAGGAGAAAAGTGGGTAGTAGGACCAGTGCGGCCCCAATTTGTGCTGTTTGGTTCGTCCATTGTTCAGCTCAGTTACTCTATGGCAGGTTGGGGAGCTATTCTTACTCACTTGTATGCCCGTAAGGTATTTTCTTCTTCCTAAAACCTTGGTGTGTGAGACTGTGAAAGAGGATGACTGGATTTTGAGTCATGCCAAATATTACGAATTAACTTTAGGAATGCATATTTAGGAATCCAAGAGTTATGCTAAATATATGAACTTTTAAATTGTTAACTTCAATTTTGTAACTGACTCACCTTAGAGATTTTATATTTATAACACAATAGTATAAAATAAGGGGGCGAACCGGAGTAGTGCTAAAACTGTTCCTTCATGACTGAAAGGTCATGGGTTCGAATCTAGGAAACAACCTCTTTGCAATTATTTAAGGGTAAGGTTGCGTACAAGGATTTCCTCCATCCCACACTCACTAGTCGGGTTTAACGGGGAGTGATAAAACACAATAGTATAAAATAATTTGCGATAAATAGCATTACTCTTGGACTTCAATCACCTTAGACTGAATGGACTATTCTGTATCAGTTCTTACTTCAATTTTGAATTAATGAAATAGTGTGGAGTTGCTTTCTTTTTATTACAGTCCTTACACATTGACATATCATGTGTATCAAATTGTTGATTCTGTCATGATTTTCTATAGCTATGCACCTATGCTTAATAGAGAACGATGCGCTGTTTTCTTGTTTTTGGAAACTGGCTGACTTACATTAAAGGGGTTCTGTTTCATCTACAAGAACAAGACTGCACGCAATGTGATGAGTCCTTATTTATGAAAAAAAAATGACGTCCCATTTATCCCATAATTTAGATAATATAAAAATATGCAAGACAGCGCAGCTTGTTTTGAAGTGGAAGAAATCATAAAATGGAAGATCAACCAAAATTATTGAGGAATATCCTAATTTTCAGTCAAATAATAACCATATTGAGGACTTTTTAAGGAAATGATGGTCCTACTTGCACTATGCCCCAATCCTTCTTTCCTCCAGTACAAGGCCACGGTATTAGAGTAACATCTAATCATTTCAGAGAGATTAATTTAAGAACACTGCATATAAAAGGCCTAACCTTTTAAAATATCAGTCAATGATGGAATGAAATTAAAATTTATATATGCCTTTGTGGGATACATTATGATGGTCATTGAATTTAATTTATCACATATTGACATGACGTAGGCAGATATAGTTCTGCGAGGATACAATGGTTGGAATTCAAGGAATGCTCTGCAGGTTCTGGATGAAATTTTTCCCAAGGTATTGAGAATCTGAGTGTTAAACACTCCTGTTGTTTCAAAATTTCCCCCTTTGATCATCTTGAATCTTTGTCCTTTTTTCACAAACGTTAAAAAATGGTTATTCTATTTATGGTCATTGAGTATCAAATGGCACCTCGGAAAAGAGTTGACAAATTGACTAGTTATGCTACAGATTAGCTTGAAGAGTACATGATATCCTCCACTTGTGTTAGAAGTGAGCATGGACATATTAGAAAGATTATTCTGAGTTTTAGGATGTTAAATGTACTATAATGAACTTCGTAATTATCACAATTTGCAGCTTGCACTTTTTGTTTAGATTCAGCTTAACGTGATTACTTTGAATCTTGCTCAGACTGACACATCAGTAATCACCCTTTTGCTTTGTGTCATCTTCTTTTACTTAGAATGACAGTGAGCAACCATCTTTGGTAATCGTATACTTTGGGGGTAATGATTCTATTCTTCCACATCCAAGTTGCCGTGGCCAACATGTACATCTCCAAGAATACATAGAAAATATGAGGAAGATTGCTATCCATCTTAAGGTAAACTTCCACACTGCAATACCACATTTCTGTCTTTATTATGATTATTATATGAAAGGAATCCTTCATCCTTCAAGTATTGTGCACTTCTTGCACAATCTCCTTTTTTTATCTCATATTTCTCACTGCAAAGTTTGACACACATCCTAACTATTGCCAGAGCCTTTCAAAGAAAACTTGCATTATATTTCTCAGTGCTCCTCCCGTCAATGAAGCACAAATTTATGGAAACAGGTAATGACTGCAATTGATTTGCTCTTTGATTATTATAATTTCACAGAAATGTAGATACATGCATACTAGGGATATCTCATGCCTAAATTTATATCTAGACTAGTATTATGTAATGACACATTTACTTACGTAGGATATACTGCAAACAATCTCTTTCCTAGTAACTTCCCTCCCTTCAAACTGGCACATGATCTATGTCATGAACCCGAAGTTTGTTATACATAAATATAACCTTTACCCAAATGTTTATGTGATATATTGTTCTTCATAATTGAGCTCAAGCTTGAGTAATAGCATGGTTGATATGTAAGAATTGACATCTTCAGCTTAAAACCTACAAGACTTGAATCTACTATAATGGCATATGAAAGTTTACCTCATGTCAACATTCTTATTTCCTGATTTTGTAAAGAATCAATTCAACCCAAAAGCTTAAGCTGTTGGGTGAGGCTACATTAATAGTTTTATATATCTCAACACGCCCGCCCCCTCACACGAGAGCCCACTGGGCTTGAAGAGTGGACAATGCACAGACCCACCTAACACGCCCCCTCACACGAGAGCCCACTGGGTTTGAAGAGTGAACAATGCACAGACCCACCTACCTGTGCGAACAAAGAAATTCCACTTGAAAGAAAGTGGGGGGCGGCGAGGATCTAACCCGGAACACGAGGCTCTGATACCATGTAAAGAACCAATTCAACCCAAAAGCTTAAGCTGTTGGGTGAGGCTACATTAATGGTTTTATATATCTCAACGCGCTCCCTCACACGAGAGCTCACTGGGCTTGAAGGGTGGACAATACACAGACCCACCTAACAGTTTGTAATACACATTCAATGTTAAAACTCTGATGAATAAATTGTTGGAATGAAACCAGTGATCCACTGCGGCCGCGGTTACGGACAAATGAATCCCTTCGAAGATACTCAGAAGCATGTTTGGAGCTGTGCCGTGAGATGAATATCAAAGCCATTGATCTATGGTCTGCAATCCAGAAAAGGGATAACTGGCAAGATGTTTGCTTCATGTAAGTATACTCTCATATGTTCCTGAATTGAAAAGGTTATAATCTGTTCTTCCTTCATTTGATAAGGTGATTTGGTTATTCCTTAGTGATGGAATTCATTTATCAGCTGAGGGAAGCAAGATAGTGGCAAAAGAGATATTGAAGGTTCTTGAAGAAGCAGAGTGGGAACCTAACCTGCACTGGAAGTCAATGCCAATTGAATTTGGTGAAGATTCACCATATGATCCAATTGGCCCTGATGGAAAGACAACTACAAATGTCTCAAGTTGGACCTTCCTAGAAACTACAGAATGGGACTAGTCTTATGTACATTTGAAAACTTAAGACAAGTCCCAGTTCATAGAATCCTTAGGCAACAATCACAAAATAACAGGAACTTTGAACTGTGCCTGCAGAAATATGGCGTTCTTAGTTCCTTTACCTGTGTCACTAGTCCCTGGTTTTTCACTGTGTGAGTGGTATGAACTTGTGACTATAATTGCTTTTTAATTAAGTCAATTGCTTGTTAGTTTCACCATTTTATGGTTTTTTGTTGGCTAAGGTTATACATTACATGTTTTGTTACTACAGATTAAAAAGGGAAATCAATGGTGAGCGAAGTTGATAGAATAGTTTAGTGTGCATTATAACAATAGAACTCACATGATTGATTGTGGGTTTGGTGCTGCCTATTTGTCCACTTTGTGCAAACTGGGTAAGTGTTATATTTAGTAAATAACATGTTAAATAGCACTTTAAACTCAAGAAATTCATGAAGAGAATTATTAATTAAAAACACCAAACAAGTTACAATTACGTGAGATGGATAATTTCTAGTAATAGTACAAGAAAAATGACAGCTATTTAAAATATTATTATATAGACCTAGTCACGTGAAATTTTCACATGTGACGATTCATCTCCGAATTCTTTACTCAATGAAAATTTACGCTATGCAAATGAGTGGATAATGATACATTAACACGTGTTTTAATTTTTTTTCTCTCGAATAAACAAAATATAAAGGAGACGTAAGTTTTTAAACATAAGTATATTATTTTCTTTTAAGGAATTTATTAATCTCATGTAGCATAAGATGACTTATCACATGTTATAGAAATAAATTATGTGGGTCCCATCATTTTAAAAAAATAAAAAAAACAATGACACGACTTTTAATGTTTCACTAGTATAAGAGAGTTCTCCTCTTCGACGTAACATAATTTAAACCCTTTCTTTAATATATAGTTATTCAGTTTTCAACACGTTGTATTCCAAGTATTTGGTGAATCCTTGGAAAAGGGAGAACCCAATGCAACGCTACGTGATACGCCAAGTCTTTGATTATTGGTGTGCCGCAGCACTTAACCGATGTTGTTGCCAAACTGGGACGTACATTTTGGAAGTTCTTAATCCTGTGTGACAAACTCATCTTGTCGCTTTGGACTAAAATTAATAATAATCAAAGTTGATTTTTCTAACAAACGATTTATGCTGCTCTCTGATTTGTTGGCACCCAGTCATATCATCAATTCAACATTTGGGATATACTATAAAAAAATGTTGTTTTTGACTGTTGAATTGAACAAAAATATATAGTCTATCATCACATGTTTTTTTATATTTTTTTCTTTTCTCTTCACCCATTACCCATTAGTTACTCTGTTATTTTTGTTACATGAGAGGCTTAATAAGTAGTAAGGTAATGAAGGGATAAGGTTTCTAAGACGTTATCTGAGCCAATTTGTTCATGTATAAAATCTTGTGTGATAAGTCAGTACAGTAGTCTAGCTACATTTGTTGTAAAGAGTAAATTTTGAGTACTCATGTATTACCTAATTTCTTACTAAAAATTAGAAATAAGTGAAATCTTATAATATTAAAAAAAAAAAAAGTGTTGCAAGCATAGTTATTAACCGGGACCGAACTGGTTAGTCAGACTGGTTCAGCCAAAAATCGAATCACTAATCGATTTGGTTCAGTTAATTATAGGATTAAATCTGCAATTCAATTGGTAGGAAACTAATGAACCAAATATATCAAATTTGCAAGCAATGGTAATCAAACATGCACCTTTATAAGTATATGTAAGTTCAACCACTAGATCAAAGTGATTTTCTTGTTAAAACATAATTAACTATTATTATATTTATTATATATTTTTATATAAATTCAATTCAACCGTACAACAGTCCCATTAATCCAATACATTGACCAAATCAATCACTAGTCTAAATTTAATAACATTGGTTGTAACAGGTTAAGTCACCTTCAAAATTTTGAATTCCTTTTATTTTATATGTGCAATTTTTTTATTCAAAAAAATCTAGTACTTAATATCTTTATTAATGATGTTTTAACTACCCTATCAAAATTGTATAATTCTGCCTCTAGGAGTACTAAGAATATTATACACGTATTATGTTTTTTTTTAGGGGATAGTCTTTAAGTGCATTGACAGTTTTTGTTACTTCTTTTAAATTATTATTAACAACCATGCACATGATAGTTTTTCTAACAAACAACAACTAAATTAATAAGGTTGCGGCTTTCGATGAGAAACGTCTTACTTGTAAAATAAGAAAAACATCTGAAAACCCTCTATAAATTTTCAGCCCCATTGTCCCAGTTTTCATATGTTTGTGCTTGATAAAGAGAGAGATGATAGGACCAACGAGGCCTCAATTTGTGTTGTTTGGTTCTTCCATTGTTCAATACAGTTATTATGAAGGTTGGGGTGCTATTCTTTCTCACTTGTATGCTCGCAAGGTACTTTCTTCATCCTCTTAAAACCTTCACGAGTTTATTAATGTTATTCATATACATTATAATATCTTACATCAATCTTCATTAATTGTAAGAGAAGTATACTAAAAAAGTTGATTTTAGATGAGATAATTCTTTATTATGATATTAGAGCTTCGGGTGACCACATAATCATAAGTTCGATTTTAATGTGCCCTCTACTTTTTAATAAAATTAAATCAACGTAAAAAGGAAAAAAAAAAAACCTATGTGATATTTACATTTCAAGCCAAAACACTATTACATATGTTAAAGAAATATAATAAAAAAATCATTGATGAACCTTCGTATTAAGCTTTTAGGTTATAATTATTCTTTAGAATTGGAGAGATGGAAACTCATGTTGCTCGTTTATCTCTCCTTTTTAGCATACAATGAAGGTGTATAGATATGTTAGAGATTGTGATATATAAATAACATAGTTCTACGGAGTTAGGAATTTTAAGAATGCGAAATTTGTGAACGACGATCCACCCGTTGCTTGGATGAAATTGCTGTATTCTGTCATAATTTCCCATACTCACATGCTTCAAAGAAATTTAGTTTTTCTACTTATATTTGTGGACGACCCAATTGTAACATTTATTTTATTACCATGTTGTTTGACTTTTAAAGAATAAATATAACGGGTTAGGGACGTTTAGTCTACAAAGGACAAGAGTGCACGCAATGTAATTGATCCTCAATTATATACTAATGATTCAGAAATATATTAAGAGATATGCAAAATCTTACAGCTTGTTTTCGCGTGGAAGAAATCTTAAAATGGAAGATAAACCTAAATAGTTAAGCAATATCCACTATATATATTGATGACCTTTTGAGGAAATGGTGATCCTACAAGCACTCTTCATTCCTTCTCTTCTTTCAACCCAAGGCCACGCATTGCATTAGAGTAACATCTCATTGTTGTATAATATTGTTTGGAAACCTTAACTTTTTTCCTCAAACTATTTTAGGTATTCATATTTTTCATTTATATGACCAAGGATCTGAATAATTTTTAGTCAAAGGGGGAAAAAAAAAACTTACGTGGTAAATAAAAAACATGTCACTAATTAAATTATATGTCAGCAATATATAGTATTCTCTTAAGAATTTTTTTATTTCTTTTTTGTATGATAATAATATTATACTTGAAAATTTAAAACTTCACTGTTGAAAAAAAAATTGCTAATTATTCACCTCGGTGGACTATGGATTAATAATCCAAGCCTTTCTTTTTAAGATGTTTGATTATCGTATATAGTGACCCTTTGGATGGTCTTGATTGGCCGTCTCAATTAATCGTCCGATAAGGCCAAGAACACGTATGATCCTTAGCATCTCATCACACATGCATGTTCCCTTCATGCATCCCCACACACGTGACCCTCAACATTGGAAGTCATGCAACCTCACACCATGTGGGATCCACAAGCCTGAAAACAATTATGGCATCTCATTTCCCTCACTTAGAGAAAATCTGGGAAATGATATTTTCATATGAAAAAGTGGTCATGTGATCATGTTATTTGATCACAGTCATTCGTTGATGTATAATTTTTTAAATGAGTAATTGTGATCAAATAACATGATCATATGATCATTTTTTCACATGAAAAAATCCTTTTTCAGATAATCTTGTCCATTTTATAAATAATGGGTCATATCTCAATGCAAGACATCTTCATCTTTATTGCTTTTATGAGACCAACATGATAACTTTTGAGAGTCTTGGTTCATGTCATTGCTTATTCCTAACTCTGACAAGTTCAATAAATGTGAAAAAAAATATTGGAGTGTATTTATATTTATGAATGCCTTTTCGGGAGTAATAATGCAATGGTCAATGACTATAACTTACCCTACATTGACATGACGTATAGGCGGATATAATTTTGCGAGGATACGCTGCTTGGAATTCAAGGCGTGCTCTACAGGTTCTGGATAAAATATTTCCTGAGGTATGGTGGAGCATCTCATCTGAACGTTAATTTTCTCTGTTGAATCAGATTTTTGTTACTTATTAGCTTGAAGAGTCTTGCGAATGATATCTTGAACTTCCTTTAGAAGTTATCATTGACATATTAGGAATATCATACTGAATTTCACATTATTAAACGTGCTATAATGAACTTAATTATCAAGTTTTTTTTGTTTTTTTCATCTCTTACATTTAGCTCTGCACCTTGTGATTTACTTTGATTCTTGCTGGGACTAACAAATATGGAATAAACCCTTTTGCACTGTCATCTTCTTTAATTAACTCAGAATAACACTGAACAACCATCATTGGTGATTGTGTACTTTGGTGGTAATGATTCTATTATTGCAAATCCAAATGGCCTTGGTTCTCATGTACCTATCCAAGAATACATCGAAAATATGAGGAAGATTGCTATCCATTTGAAGGTAAATTTCCACGCTAGAGTACCACATTCCTGTGTTAATTATTATTATTATTATTATTATATGAAAGAAATCCTCCATCCTTCATTTTTTTACCTTATATTTATGACTGCTAAGTTTGACACAATCCTAATGATTGCCAGAGCCTTTCAGAAAGCATTCGCATTATATTTCTCAGTACTCCTCCCATCAATGAGGCACAAATCCATGATAACAGGTGAGGAATGGAATTGGTTTGCTATTTGATAATTATTATAATTTCCCAGAAAGGTAGGTAGATTCATACTAATGATGCCTCATGCCTACACTTCTATCTAGACTATAATTACATAATAACACAGTTACTTATTTAGTATATTATGAAAGAAAAAAAGTGTTTGTCTTTTGAAATGACACAACTTATGTTATCTCACTCTCACAAAGAGATGAGACTCACACCTTTACTTTTTTTTGTTCACTCTCTCTTCTTCATGATCTATCTCTTTCTTTCACTTAAAATAATACAACTTTACATTCTTTAAAATAACATATATTTTTCCCATACCGCAAACAACCTCTTTCCTAATAACTCGTCTCTCCTAAGTTTTTTATACATAAATGAAACCTATAGCCAAATGTTTATGTGACATTTATTCGAAATTGACATAAATTGAAAAACAAAAAAGAACAGGTAAGATAGATTTGACATGGTAATTTATCCTGATTCACTCAATGTAATCTATGATTCACTCAATGTAATCTATGTCCAGCTTGTCTGTATTATATTCATCTCATCGTCACTCGTTACAAGTCACTCAGTTTAAAAAGAATATAAATAAAATTTAGAAAACCCTAATAATAGTTATTCATGGGTCCAAGTCCAAACTACTAAGAAAAATATAATTATAATAAATTAAAGACCTACAACAATACCGCGCCTATATAGACCCCGGAGCCCTCGTCAACATGCGAATTACAAGCTATATGTACCCAACAATATTGTCCTTAAAACTTCAGCTCAAGTTTGAGTAATGGTTGATATGTAAGAATTTAAATACTCAGCTTAAAACCTACGAGACTTGAATCTATTATACTGGTATATGATAAGTTTAGCGGATATCTGGTTGCTTGACAAGACCCTTTGACATTCTTATTTCCTGATTTTTTTATTTTTGGAATTTACATTCAATCTTAGACTCTGATGAAAAAATTGTTGGAGTCAAACCAGTAATTCACAGGGGCAGCCATTGAGGACAAATGAATCCTGTCGAATATATTCAGAAGCATGTTTGGAGCTGTGCCGTGAAATGAATATCAAGGCCATTGATCTTTGGTCTGCAATCCAGAAAATGGATAACTGGAGAGATGTTTCCTTCATGTAAGTATACTCTCATATATTTCCCTGAATTGAAAAGGTTCAAATATGCATTTCCTTTCATTTGATTTTGGTGGTTTGGTTATTCCTTAGAGATGGAATTCATCTGTCATATGAGGGAAGCAAGATAGTGGTAAAAGAGATATTGAAGATCCTCAAAGAAGCAGAGTGGGAACCTAGTCTACACTGGAAGTCAATGCCAGCTGAATTTGGAGAAGATTCACCATATGATCCAGTTGGCCCTGATGGAAACACCACTTTTAATCTCTCAAACTTTCCCTTCCCAGAAAGTATTGAATGGGAATACAATTAACCACCAATTCATAGAATTCTTGGGCAACATATTATATAGCCATAAAATATAGCAGGCTTTTAGTACTGTGCCTATAGATATATGTTATTCTTAGTTCATACGTGATCAATATATAATAGATAGGAGATAAATTGTGAACTTGTGATTGTGACTTATATTTGTACTTTGATTGAGCCAGTTGCTCAGTAGGTTTCACCATCTTATGGTTGTATAGCTATAATTTATGTCGAAAAAGAAAGAGTATGACAAGGTGGAAGAGTGACCATTTTGCCACACTTGGCAAAAAAATTTACCAGACTGCCACGCCAACAGTAAATTTTGCCAAAATGCCACGCTGCATCCTTAGCCGTTGTTGAATTCAACGACGGCTAAGGATGCAGCGTGGCATTTTGACAAAATTTACTGTTGACGTGTCAGTCTGGTAAAATTTTTTGTCAAGTGTAGCAAAATGGTCACTCTTCTTGACAAGGTCAACATATAATGTCAAATAAATATGATTTGTGATTTGTAAACTTGTGATTTTTTTGCTTTCCTATCAAATAAATATGTTCAGCAATTTTCTTTCTTATAATGTCAAATCATTTTTCATTCTTGTATCTCTCTATCTATATTATATTATATATGTATTGGCTTGAGGAGTAATTAATTAATGATAACAACCATTAATCATTTAATATTATTTCTCAAATGAAAAAGGACATAGAATAAACAGATTTTTCATGTCATAAAAAATGTAATTCAACATGTTAATTAGATGAATTAAACATATTTTTTTTTATTTATTTACACAACTTGTACATATATAAAAATTAAACCATATATAAATTTATATTAGAAGTTCTTCTTCAAAATATTACCACAAACATAAAAATTAAAATCAATATATATATATAGTTCTCCTTCAATGTTCAAGCATGATTTGCCTTGACTGTTGTTGCATAATCAACGGTGGAGTTGGGTGTATGATCAGTGCAAGGATTAATTTTAAACATTTTTTTAATTAGTTTGATAAGTTTAATTTTTTTCGTAATGCATTTAGAAATCAAAATTTAGTAATCATGCTTGTGGGATAATGAACAAATTCTAGATTCACTAACCTATAAATTTTCTAAATAATTTAAAATTTAAATCTTGCTAATACAAAAAGAAGTGTCAGCTCACTAATGATAATCAAATAGACTCTATCAATCGAACTGGAGGAGGGGAATCAGAAATTAACCTTTTATCTATACTTGTTAAAACATATAATCATGATCGGAATTTGTTATAACGCAAGTCAATAAGTAAATAATGAAAATGATAACAAACAAGACTTGTCTACATATAAAAACAACGGAGATGTTATACTTATTATTAAAAAAATTTACAACTCTTATTACTAAACTAATCACCGTTAATTATCGTCAATCTAATAGTTATAATTTATTAGATCACTTTCTTTTCTTTCCCCGCCAAACTCGCAAGCCTATAAAGAAATGAGCGATGCACGCGACCAATAGCACATGTCCTCGCTGTTAATTGGATCCAAGGTCATGTGCCCCGAGATGCACGCTGAGCAATCTCATTTTCATGCACCTTTTAAATCAGTCCTCCCCCAGCTTCAAATAAATTTCCAGTACCATCAGCAATGCAGCTTTCACATTGATCCTTTTATTTAGTTATTTAGTTTTCAACACGTTGTATGCATGCCAAGAAGCCTTTGGTGAATCCCTGGAAAAGGGAGAACCCAATGCAACACGTGATACGCCAAGTCTTTGTTGCCAAACGGGGACGTAAAATTCCATCAGCCCTAATCAAATTAAATGCATATAAACAATCAAGCATGTAAGATAATATCACAAGCATCTTCACGTGAATTGGTCAGAACTCAGAATGGAAAAGGACTGCAAAAATCACAAAAGCATCTTCCACTTAACAAATAAAAAATAAAAATAAAAGGTGCTGTCAAATTTTTCACATATTCACGAAAAGCATGTCAGAAGGATAAAACCAAGTTTTATACACACAAAAGACATATGGTGATAACTTATCAGGTGTCTCCACACACTAACACGAGACTTTTCAGAGTGCTTTGTCCTCACTCACACACTTTTCGGGAAAACTTCCCAGGAGGTCACCCATCCCAGAATTACCCCAAGTCAAGCACGCTTAACTATGGAGTTCTTCCGTTCCGGGCTACCGAAAAATAGATGCATCTTTTTTAGTATAGATAGTACCAATTAATTCTTATAAGTCATTTCCAACTGTACCGTCCCATACCAGCACAGTCTCTGGAATCCCTCTCTTTCGGGTGTTGATTCGATTCATTCATGTACCCCCGTCCCTAGAAGCCTGCCAGGAGCCGCTCTTTGTCCATGCCCTTTCGCACCAGCGATCACTCCCCGCCCTCGTCAGCGCCCGAGATGTTACACCAGACACAGACATGATAAACTAGTTGGCAACACTGAGCTTTCCAGATGTAGTTAGCTATTTATCCATCGGAAGCTCTTCAATTTTGGGACCTATCTCCTTTCCCTTTGCGTACAAATCCGCATCAAAACCCCAACCATCCCCATAATAGCTTAACTCAGGGAAACCCTCATCAGTCCCCGAGTATTTTCTTTTCTGCCCCCGTGGTGAGTTTCCCACCTCTTTCTTTTTGGGGGAGGAGACATGGGTAGCTGCAGAGGGTCCGGACGACTTCAAACGTGCAGCAGCACCCTGAATTGATTCAGCACCAGCTGGGGAAACAGTGATTGGGGGCACGTTAGGATTTGAAGGGGTGGCATCTTCAGCAGTGGCATCTTCAGCAGCCCGCCTCGCCGCTATTGCTTGCAGCCTAGATAAAGTGGCAGACATTAAACTATCTGAAAATCAAAGAAGGAAAGAGTGCGCGTTAGACATTGTCAAAATAAATACGAACTATAAATAATTCCTTTAGATAAAACTGAAATAATAAAAATAAATTTACCCAAGAAGGTTCTGATGTCTTCGTCAGTATATTCATTTAAAATAGTAAAAGCGCTTAGGTAACCCGTATCAGAAGCCTCTCGCGTGATGTTGGTTAAGGTGGTCACAGTATATTGCTCATAATCACTCGAGTCATCAAAACTATAGTTCAACTTTTGACCTTCTAACGGTTGTTGGGTTCAGTATAAAGGAAAAATTAGGGAATTATCTTCTCTGTTCAAGAAAAACAGTTGGGAATCTTTGGCGGGAAAAATCTTGAAGTAGTCTATAGACCACTTGTGAACCTTCCTTTGATAGGAAGCACAGAACTTGAATTTATCTTTTCCTCTAAAAGAGACCCAACTTGAATGCGGTCCCATAACACTGAATAGACATAAGAAAGATTCTGGAGACTGAAATAGATCATAGGCTTTACAGACCATCTCGTACACCCTTATGAAGCCCCATGCATTTGGAGTTAATTGTGAGGGCGCTACATTGATATGCGCCAGCAACCTACAAACGAAGGCAGAAAAAGGCAGACGTACTTCTAATGACAGAAAGAAGTGGGCATATATCATTATGAAATGCCTAGAAGATCCCTCAGCGCGCGCTGAACAGACGCGTTCATTTAAGGGGACGACATCTACCTCCCACTTGTCCTCATTAGCTTTCTCAGGGGTAACATAGATGGCGACCTTTAATTGTGCCAATTCTTCTGCAGAGCTATATGTCGAGGCAGTATCCAAAACAATGTCTGATACCCAACTCAGGGATTCTTCATCCCAAAGATTACGCTTGACCGGTCCGGTTGCTTCAGGATCAATCTGTAGTATTTTCTTCTTCGCATCAGGATTAAGCTTTTGCTTTTTCTTCTGATCACCAGCACCACGCCTAGCCATAATTTCTTTTATTTTAGGCGAAATGAAATCTGATTCAGAAGAGGAGAAATTAGTAGAGGCAGATGAGTCAGAAGAAGAAGAGACAACAAATGCAGATTTAAAATTGTCAAAATTCCTTTTCTTATATGGGTACCCTGCCGGGTAAATAACATTTAAAGGTAAGGGGCTTGGACTCCTTTGGCTAGGTTGATCTCGCGCGATGGAAGAAGAGATATCGCACGATGGAATTGAGAAAGAAGAGTTGGAGTTTAGTGTATTAACGGACTTATAACTACAACCAAAATTTGAGGAAGAACCGCTCGATATGAAAATAGGACTGGTCATTTTAAAGGAAATTTTTGGGAAAAGAGACGAACTTTGCTGTGACAAAGTTTTGGTTATCCCGTAGTTAGGTTTTTGAAAGGAGGAACCTATTTCAAACCGCGAACAGAAGGCGCACGGTTATCATTTAAAATTACTTTCTTCCAGGGGGCAGCGCACTTGCCAGTAAGCCATGATTCCCCAGTTCCTAAAGACCTCGACCTAGGTAAGGACCTGGGAGGTGGACTGGAAGAACGAGACTGTTCGGCTATTCTGATAAAATTCACAAATTTGCGATTATCAGACATACCCCAAAGCTCGAATGCAAGCAGAACACAACTAATGCAGCATAAAACGAAAAATAAAAGAGTGAAGAAGAAACACACCTGAAATTTATATTACGGATGAACGGAAGGAGAGTAGAACGTGTCTACTCCAAAAGGGGGAAGCAGCAGTAGAATGTAGAAGAGGCAAAGTTCTTCGGCAACAGTGAGTGCTTAGATTGATTTCCCTCCAACCCAAATGACTCAGTACAAATATGAAAAGATACCCCAGGAAAACTCAAAAGGTTAAAACGTGTTGAGTAAAACGGATAACAAGGGGGACACGTGGGAGGAAGGTAAAACGTTTAAACTTTAAAACAGCCCACGATTGTCATTAAGCACCCACGTAATTACGGTGGCATTAAATGTGTCTGACAGTTAAACATCTAATCAACCATTTTTAAGCTTATTTGCAATGATGATTTTTCAACATGATTATTGCGACATCAAATGAACGCGCCACAAAAACATATCGCGCCTGAAAGATACATATTTAACTCCCAGCTTTGTCATACACCAAAACTGCAAGCTAGGGGGCAACCGATTT